AATGGGAGAATTCGCGCTCAAAACTGCGGAAGCGCGGCATCAGGGAACGAAGTTACTCGACAGAGTAAGTATCTCGCTACGTCGAGCAGTATTCTTGCCGATGTTGAACCACGCTGCAAAAATTAGTGTCTGCAAATGATGGGTCATATGGCTCAAAATGAATTTCACCTGTAACGGATTTGATCGAAATTCAGGAATTCTTTGCTATACCAGTATTCATCCTAGTTAGGGGGTGATAAATAAGTGATAGGATGTTTTCCCAGATGCATATCGTAGGGTAACGGCGCCAAAGTGGTGCGGAAAATTATGTATCCAAAAGACGAGTGACCCAGGGGGAAGTAATTTATATGCTCAGTTCTATTCTACTGAATATTTGCATCTCTTAGAAGATATTTTTCAGATCACATTCCATGGGAGAGAAATTGTTGTGGACACCAAGTTGGAGCTCAATCGAGGAAGACGATATGGCTTGATTGGTCTCAACGGGAGCGGTAAGCTTCTCTTTGAAAAAGATTGAACATATGCCACCATTTCTACTCTTGATTTATAACATTTCATACTTTTTTCTATTTTAGGTAAATCAACCATCATGCATGCCATAGTTAATCGAGAGCTTCCTATACCTGACAGCGTTGATATGTACTTGGTGAGTTTTAACTTCTTTTCAACATTGACATTTACTATCTCAGCTCTACAGCTCAGCTTGGTGCTGAGAAAGATGCTGCCTGATATGAAAATATCCATTTCCCCTTGGACGTTTACCGCGCTTACTAAATAATATTCTGGATGCAAGGATAACATTCCTCATCTGCAGGTTTAATGGGAGAATTACCTCGATGAATGTCTTGGAAATGCGCTTGCTTTTATGAATAAAGAATGGCTGTGAACCCTATGTAGAGCTATTATTTAGGTGTCACGTGAAATGCCTGCTTCTAACACAACTGCTTTGCAAGCAGTGGTTGATGTTGATACAGAGCGGAAGGAACTGGAGCATCTCGCCGAGGAACTCGCTGGAAATGACGACGACGGTACGTGTTTGCAAATCGAGGTTTTGCTTGAAGGTTTCATGTTCAATTTTTTAGAGAGCCAGGAGAGGCTTATGGATATTTATGAACGATTGGATGATATGGATGCAACTCTGGCGGAAAAAAGAGCTGCTGAAATTCTCCATGGTCTTGGGTTCACGAAAACTATGCAAATGAAAAAATGCAAAGATTTCTCAGGTTTGATTTCGAAGCTTTTGATTCGCTACACTTATTCATTTATGTCATCTAGTTTAGGAGGATGGCGGATGCGAATAGCTTTAGCCCGAGCACTTTACTTGAAACCTTCTTTGTTACTCCTCGACGAGCCTACGAACCATCTTGATCTCGAAGCTTGCGTTTGGCTTGAAGGAGAGCTTAGTCGATATAAAAGAACACTGCTTATTGTTTCTCATTCACAAGATTTTATGAATGGTGTTTGTACGAATATTATTCACCTTTTCCAGAAGAAACTAGTTTATTACACGGTAAGCAAGCCACTGATTTTTTCTTGGCAACTTTCTATACTTTTTC